GTACCTGCCGCGGGCCTCAGAATCGACCTCCCAACCTCTTCTGACTACCTACCAGACCACCCCAACCCAACCCGAAGACCCGAATTTGACCCGAATTTCGGGTTGGGGGGGGTACGGATACCATGTGTTTTTTCATCGTTCCCCGACCCCCCCCCACTGGAAATCGAGGATAAATTTGGGCCTTCGGGTTGGGTTGGGGTGGTGTGGTGGGTGGTGATCTTCAGGGGCGCGCTCCGACCAGGACCTCGACGCAGACCCAGACGTGGTGACGAGCGCCTCTCAACCCAGAAGGCGGGCACCTTCTTGTGCCCTGCAGGCATTCCACACACACACACACACACACTCGGCCGCGCGCGAGTGCTCTCGACGAAGCGCCGCGCAGTTCCAGCTCCTCCTCCTCCTCCTCCTCCTCCTCCTCCTCCTCCTCCTCCTCCTCCTCCTCCTCCTCCTGTTCAGCTTCTGCCTGTGCGCCGCCCGTGTGTTGCCTTCCCCAGGTCGTCGGAAGTGGGACCGCGCGCGCGAGCGCCTTCCGTGCGCAAGGCAGGAGCGCGCGCGAGTCCAAAAGTCGAGTTCTTCCAGCACTGGCTATTGGTTGCGGGGGGAGAAGGGGGAGGAGGAGGAGGAGGAGGAGGAAGGAGGAGGAGGAGGAGGGAGGAGGAGGGAGGAGGAGGAGGAGAGAGGAGGAGGGGGAGGAGGAAGAGAGGAGGAGGGGGAGGAGGAGAAGGAGGAGGAGGAGGAAGGAGGAGGAGGGGAGGGAGGAGGAGAGGAGGAGAGGAGGAGGAGGAGGAGGAGGAGGAGGAGGAGGAGGAGGAGGAGGAGGAGGAGAGGAGGGGAGGAGGAGGAGGAGGAGGAGGAGAGGGAGGGAGGAGGAGGAGGGAGGAGGGGGAGGAGGAGGAGGAGAAGAAGAAGAAGAAGAAGACTCGGCCTTGCGTGTGGTCTCAGTCTGACCTGCCACTCGCGCCAAGCCGTCGGCCTGGCTCTAGACATTACCTCTCACAGTCGTCTCGTTCGTTCACGATCCGAGGTGGGGGTAGCACGCACCGTGCAGCCTCTCATACCTGTGTATGAAGACCGTCGCAATTTCTATCAGTCCCTGGGCAGGGGGTGATGCCCCTCGGGCCTCACAAGAGGCCGTGGCCGTCTGGTGCTGCATGCACCTGGCTGGCCTCGGAGGCACTCCACCTGCCCTGAGCGGCCCCCTCGGCCCCCCGAAACAAAACTGAAAACCTCATCGTAAACTCCTCCTCATTCTCAATGGGGGGCCCAGGGTCCCGCAAGCTCAAAAAGGGTGAGAAGGCAAGGGGGACCAGGAGGGACGGCGAAGAGAGAGGAAGGGGAAGGGCGGCAACGCACAGGGGCGCGGCCTAGTACACGCACAGGTGGGCGCCTATGCCCAACCAGGAGTCGAACCCCTCGGCGATGATGGGTAGCTGGGTGAGTGGTTGGAGTAAGTGGAGCTATGCGACTAGCGCATGTCCCCACCGCCTTCACAAAGGCCGAGGCCGAAGCCTTCTAGGCAACTGGAGATAGTCGTCACAACCACCAGCCGTGCACAACAAGAATCATCACTCCACTGAGCCAACAGAAGAGCAGAAACTCACGCCGATGAGGTCGGACCTGTCGCCCTTGGGAAGCTCGATCTAACACATATAGAATGGGAGCGTCAACGACTCTGAGCGTGTTCTCCGAGAACGTCCGATACGTATGGAAATGAGTGTGGCCTTGCAACCGGATAGAAGCACGCGATGACGTCTGGCGAGGGGTTACTTAGCCAAGACCCTGTCGCAGCCCGTGCCTCTTCCATCTGAAAAGAAGCCAATGTAGTGACAGCGTGGGCAGAGACAAAGACCATCATGCATGTAAACGAGCGTTCCAGGAATCTGAGTAGTATGAAGTCGTCGAGCATTCCCAAAAACAAATCATGAATTACTGGCTGGTCTCACGCTGTGCTTGTTCTCTCTGTCGGACCCGTTTACGCAGAGCTGCCAGCCTCTCTCCCCAGTGCGATACTAGTGGCGTCCTCATCGTTTCTTGACAGTGTCCGCTTTCTTGCCTTTGTCGAGAAGCCTCTGGGCCAGCTGTTCGAAGTGGCCCTGAGGAGCGGCCCCGAGCTTCATAGTGGGGAACGACTCGCAGCAACGCCGTCCGTCTTCGTCTAAGAGTTTGCAATGAAGTCGCCTCGGTATGTCATCCACCTCATCCTCGTCCAGCCTGCCCCCCACGTGTGCCTCGCTCCTCGTCGGCGGTGGGATCGAGAAGGTCCAAAAACTCGCTCTAATAATTGTACAAAATCGATGTCCGTCCAGCCATCGTAGTCGTCGCAGTAGAAGAGACGGAGCAGGGGGAAATCCTCGGGCACCATGTCTCTGAACTCCTCTGAAGACCGATAAGCCCAAGGATTCGCCTCAGGATGTAGGTGCCCCTCGTTCGTGATGGAATCCCCGTCCCCCATGCAGCCTAGGATGCAAGCTCGGGCCTGTCGGTGGCTCGATTCGATGGAAACTTAGCCCAGCTTTGGTACCACTTAATCCTCCGAAGTCGAAGCTCCTCCGCTGTGGGTAAGATGCGCCAATGGGTCCAAACTCGTGCCGACCAGCGTCTGAGCTCGTCCTCACCGTGTTCGTGCAGCCCTCGCTTACCTAGGCCCCGTCGCATCGCTCGCATCACGATCTTGTCACAATCGTATGTATACGTGTTATCTGGGATCCCCCCCTCCATCCCCGACAGTAAGGCAGAGTGTACAAAGGCAATGATACTCCTTCTCTTGATACTCGTAGTAGCGTGATGTACCAGAAAGTTAGATATCAGTCCCAGACCCTTTCGGCCCGTCTGGAGCCGCTTCGTTTTTTCCACCTGCAGGGACCCCGGAGTAGTCAACCATCCCAGCACCTTGCAGGTATGAATATAACGTCTGAGTCCTTGTGTCACGTGTACGAAATCAACTCTCGAGTGCGAGTGTGCCCCGTAGTATGTGGGGCCAGCTGGATAGAGTGTGTTGGCCGCCATCATATAAGACTCCGATAGAAAATGATGCCAGAGCCGCCCTGCGATACCCTCCGCCTCGTACCTCCCCACTGCAAGGTCTGGCTCTTCACCCTCGGAGTCCACGTCCTCTATCTGGGCCCCGTCAACAATATCATCTTTCGAATACCCTGGCTTATCATCCACGCCAATGATAAGTGTATACCGTCCTCCGACGCTCTCGATGGTGCTGTTGGCCCATTGTATCATCGCCTGGACGAGCACTCGGTAGCTAATGTGTGTTCCACTGGTCGGGGATCTGACGGGGAAGTAGAGGACCATCAGCAGTAGGTCCATGGTGCCCGACTTTAGTCGAACCGCTCCACATCTGCCAGCCAACTGGTGGACAATATACTCTGCGAAGAAACCCTTGTGGAAAACGACGTCGGTGAAAAAAATGCTCACCCCGCAACTCTTAGTAGCCGAAGGAGACCTCCCAATGTGCTGGGTGGCTGTACAGGCTATGGCCGCCTTCATGCTGCCGTCGAGAGGTAAGAGTAGCACGCCGACGTTGCTGAATATTTCTGCTCGGACGGCGCCCGTGATGTACATGGGATTGTAGGCCACCACTCGAAACTTAGCCTGAGGTGGGGGGTTGGCGCCGCCATTATCATTCTGCATCGTGTAGCTCTCGATGGCGGTCACGGCGAGAAGCCACCGCATGGCGGCGGCGCACGCTCCCCTCCCTGGAAGGTCAGGCGGAGCCCCAGAGACGAGACAACACCACTCTGCTGCACTCTGAAATGTGTGGTACAGAAAGTTTCAGTAGCCGCGTCATGTGTTGGTTGTTCGGGCCGCGGCAGCGGCTGGAGGAGGAGAAGGAGGAGGAGGAGGAGGAGGAGGAGGAGGGGGAGGAGGAGGAGGA